GACTGCTGTACATTCAGAGTCTATGGATCATCTACATCGTCGCGCCTGGTGTGTCAGTGTAGGGAGCGGTGTCAGACACGGGGAGAGTCCCTGTACCACAGTGTGGCGGGAGGGGCAGAGGGTCGAGTGTCATAAGAACACCGTGTCCCTCATTCCCGGCACACAGGCCACCCTCCACTATGGCGTGGTGCTGGATGTGGGGAGGGGGCCTTCCTTGACCTACACAGGGGGGTTGTTCTTGGCAAGTATGATGAGGTGTTCCGGGAACCTCTTGTCCCTGTGTTTAGTGCTGGGTGGCCGTCATCTGGCTACACTGTGTCGATGAGTCTGATCAGCGGGGAGGACGTCGACATGACAGACACCAAGAGGGCCCTCGTCTACCACGCGCTGAGATAGGAAATAAACTGGTTATGTCAAGTTGTCCGTGTAACTGAGAGATTTCTATCAACTGTTTCAATGACCGGCCGTGAAAGTGAGTGAAGCGGACATAGAAGTGTTCGGTTTGTGTTCTGTTTGTTGTGTACAAAATACAACCAAGTTCTTCACATGTCTGGTTTCAGTACTTTCCTGGTTTCTTCTGGGGTTGAAATACATTTTAAATACTCACACGAATATGTTTACGTGAAAACTATTGCTGTAGTTGCTGAATTTGCTTATATAGATTTAGTGCCATAAAATAATTGTTTTAAATCCTTACATGAATTTTGTTATGAAATTAGGGCTGTAGTTTCTGTAATTATGTTACAGCAAGAATTTTTGATAAAATGTCAGGCGATAATAAGTAACTAGGGATGATTTGTTTCTGGACAAAGAGTTATATATGGTGTTTTAAGTATGACTTTAGAAGTGGTATTTGTATGCTAGCATATGGAAAGCTATTGAAGAGGACGTCGCACAATCCGGCACAATAACATACATCAACATTTCTTATATATTTATATGATCACAAATATTTTCTGTGAACATCGAGGAGACGGATAGACTTTCGATCTTTTATTTTATTTTTTCACAAGCCTATAGATATTTGTTTTACTTTACTAAATCTCATCATCAAAACAGGGAATATATGGGAATGTATATTATTCTACTAGTAATATATTTCTTAGCTAGAGTATATCGGTTCAAATTTTAAACAAGAGTGCTCTGAGAGCACAACATCCCCCGCATGAATTTTTTTTAACGAGTTTATATTTTCTTTGTATTTTATGAAATAACAACAGTAGATGGCACTGCATTTGGAACAAATTGTGCAGAACATTTTCTTGGGAGTAATCCAGTCTGAATGCTAATGCCATAAGGATGTAGCTCACCCACAAAAGCCTTAAACAAGGAAACTAACTATAGTTATAGTTATAGTTAGATATTGTGATATTCTCTGGAAATTGGAGGAGCAGATTTCATGAAGCTCCGTAAAACAGGGGCAGTAACTCTGTCAAAATTTGTCAAAATGAAACGGGACTGCGATATGCGTATCATCAACATGTCGACATCTTGTGTGTGGAGTGTCACGGATATTCTCTGGAAACTGTAGGAGGAGTTGATTTCACAAGCTTAGTACCCTCTCTCACAATTAGTCAAATGAAGCTCCGTAAAACAGGGACAGTAACTCCGTCAAAATTTGTCGAAATGAAACGGGACTGCGATATGCGTATCATCAACATGACGTCATCTTGTGTGTAGAGTGTCAGGGATATTCTCTGGAAACTGTAGGAGGAGTTGATTTCACAAGCTTAGTACCCTCTCTCACAATTAGGCAAATGCAGCTCCGTAAGACAGGGGCAGTAACTCTGTCAAAAAATAGTCGAAATGAAACGGGACTGCGATATGCGTATCATCAACATGTCGACATCCTGTGTGTAGAGTGTCAGGGATATTCTCTGGAAACTGTAGGAGGAGTTGATTTAATAAGCTTAGTACCCTCTGTGGGACGGACAGACGGACGGACGGACTGCGCCACGACATAATCCCCCTTCGGCCATTCTGGCCCGGCGGGGGATAAAAAGTTAAATTAAATGCAAATGTCATAATTTGTCATATTTCCACACAAACATAATTATGTTATACTTGTGAAATTATGCGATTATATAGCCATCAATCAGTTGTGATTCAGACGGATAACGAATTTAACATTTCAAAATAATTATCAGAAAGATATTTCAAATAGGGAAGAAGCTCTATCTTACGGGAGGGTAGTAGGGCCACGGTGAAATGTTTTTGTCTAAGTATCTCCTACGTAGGACTTATTATCTCCTACGTAGGACTTAGTAACTTCTACGTAGGACTTTCTATCTCCTACGTAGGACTTACCATCTCCTACGTAGGACTTACTATCTCCTACGTAGGACTTACTATCTCCTACGTAGGACTTCCTATCTCCTACGTAGGACTTAGTAACTTCTACGTAGGACTTACTATCTCTTACGTAGGACTTACTATCTCCTACGTAGGACTTAGTAACTTCTACGTAGGACTTACTATCTCTTACGTAGGACTTACTATCTCCTACGTAGGACTTAGTAACTTCTACGTAGGACTTACTATCTCTTACGTAGGACTTACTATCTCCTACGTAGGACTTACTATCTCCTACGTAGAACTTCCTATCTCCTACGTAGGACTTATTATCTCCTACGTAGGACTTAGTAACTTCTACGTAGGACTTACTATCTCTTACGTAGGACTTACTATCTCCTACATAGGACTTCCTATCTCCTACGTAGGACTTCCTGTCTCCTACGTAGGACTTCCTATCTCCTACGTAGGACTTACTATCTCTTACGTAGGACTTACTATCTCCTACGTAGGACTTACTATCTCCTACGTAGGACTTCCTATCTCCTACGTAGGAGATACTAAGATCTACGTAGGAGATAGTTGGACAAAAAATAATTTCACCGTGGCCCTACTACGCTTCCGTACTATCTAATGCTTTACATTTCGATGTTGTACATTACGTATCGCACACCCACTATCTGATGAAAGTGCATACGTGTACATGTATCTGAAGTCACAGACATGTTTATCACTTTCCCGTGAAGAGATTTACACCTTTATTGTACATTGTCTGATAACATCACGCGCGGAAGGGACTATTTTTGGCATCAGGTGATATGTAAACAATGACACACATTTTCAACAGTGATATGTGCGTTAATATTTCGAGGCAGCTCACTGTTGTCACGCAATCGTACACCTAATACATGGAATTAAACGACCAGGTTAATGAAATATAGTTCGCATCTTTATTTGAGTTAATCTGATGACGCAAATATCGCCGATTATGCCCCGTTTTCTTCCGCTGTAAAGCGTCTGTCATTGGTTCTGATATTTAGCTTCTGGATTATCTTCACATGAAAAGCCATTTATTTGGCATTTGTTTTCTTATAACATAATGAAATAAATCATAAATAGATCAAACAATTTTGGAAAAATAATTGATGAATTAATCTAGCTAAGGGAGTACTTGTGTAAAATGAGTAAAATGTCGGGGCTAAATGGGATGATAATAAAGAAAACGTTTATTTTTTAAAATTAATTTGGTACAGTGGCATACACATCCATGTGTATTATCTTTTTGACAGGATGAATCAATAGGCATTGCCCTTAAATCTATAACAGTAGTCATGGTGTGGCAAGTCATCTACTGAAGACTATTCAGCGTGAGGTTGTAGAAAGCTGTATTACAAATCACAACATTGGCAGGTTTTTTACTGGATAAGGAAAATCGCTATGCCATGAAACTCTGCTAGATATCAATGCCTTGTTTGAGATCCAGAGACCCAAACAGTTCGTCCTGAAAGTGCGCATGCCCACTGGTTTTGTCAAGAAAACCATGTGTGAAACACACACTTTTAAATTTATCATATTTTGTGAAAAAAAGAAGCAGCTGTTAGAGTTTAGTTATGCCCCCCTCTGGTTCTGGTGCCGGGGCTGAAACGACGATTGGGCAAACACAGCTGTTTCAGACGAGTACTTGACTAAACGGGTTCTCGGCGTATGAGACGAAGAAGGTCCCTGTCTTCGCGATGTGTCGTCACAGGAGGTCTTCCGGATCTGGAACGGCCCTGTACATCATCGGTCTGAGCATGTTCCCCGACTAAACGACAGTGTGATGATACCCCAATTTCCGACCAATGGCATTTCAAGACATTCCTGCGTTTTGCATGCCGATTATTTGCCATTTTGTGGCAACTGATCACCTTCCTTAAGATGGTGAACAGAAGATTTTGATCCTTTGCCTTTGAATTGTTTTGTATCATGTTCCAGACCCTGGACATAAGTTTGCGGGAATTGATTCTGGAGATATGGTTCCTCCAAGATTGACGTTTATTTTGTTTATAAGGCCGCCTGACCTTTGCATTTGTAATTTTTACTTGATCTTAATCATGAACTGTAGGATGTAGGCGGAAGTACTTTTCCGCTTTCTTCCTACACTTCCGTGCCTGTTTTCATTCGCTAGTAAAACACAGTTTGCGAATATGAGGATTTGCAGAGGACTTAGGAATTGTATGATCGGCTATTTCATTGAGGTGATCTGAAAACAATTGAATCGGATCTTCAATATTTTTAAAATGGTCAGGGGTTAATTTTGCAGTACATATTATTAATGTTCCATACGATGACCAATCGGCCTTGTTAAAAATCCATCTGGATGAAGAGGAATCAGGATTCGGGTTCACAGCTTTAAGAATGGTGGGAAAGTTATCGCTTCCGCAGCGAGCATTATGGACCGACTATCCAAATAGATTTGAATCTTCGGGAGAGGACAGTAAACCAATAATGGAGAGACCCCAGAATCTTAGGACGCCCGGGATGTTGATGCAGGTGATGCTTGCAGCATCTGGCATCTTTGGTATATTCCTCAAAGCGTAGCTGTATTAATGTCGTATTTGTTAGAAGTTATGGTTTACGACAGATATAGTTCTTCTATCACCTTGTGAATTTAAGCATTATAACTAATCGATATGTTACTGAAGGAAACACAACCATAACTCAAAGAATATAAAAGAACTAGTTTATTTTTTCAAAACGTATATTTGTAGAATGTCAAAAATACATAACAACTGTACTTGTATCTTTTACAGACATTGTCTGTGGATAACTGGATGATAATTATCCGGCTCATCATGTTTGTGTGAGAAATGTACACCGATCTGCATCCATACAAATACAGTACAGACTGTCCAAGATGATTATTACAGGAATAGGAAAATAATCAGTAATATGGAAGCAGAAAAAGCAAAGAAACATATGTTCACATATTCCTCTTGAAACAATTAAAGTAAACTACGGTTATAACGAACACGCTTATAACGAACTGACGGATATAACGAACTTACTTTTTTGGTCCCGACTATTTGCTGTAGTTATGCTGTATATATGCTTATAACGAACTACGGTTATTACGAACTAAAATTAGTAGTCCCCTTGAGTTCGTTATAACCGTACTTTACTGTACACATTATTGAACATCCTGAAGCGATGTCAACTTAGTACGCGACTCAAATAAGAACACTCTTGTAATTAGTTGTGAAAACATATAAAACATAATGATGATATCATGTTTAAGACATCTGTATATCCAACAAATGGCAGTTAACGCATGCCGCAAAAAAACGATGACAACAAAGAAGTAAGAAAAAGATATTCGTTAATCTGGGATTCTAACGCGCGATGATGAGATTTCTGGCACGCCTCCGGACGCAGTGTGGACCAGCGAATCGCTGCGTCTTAGACTGATGGGGGCGGGTGGAAGCCTAGTGGTTAAAGCCAAAGACCCGGGTTCGACTCATGACATTGGTAAAATGTGTGAAGCCCATTCCTGGTGTCCCCCGCCATGATATTGCTGGAATATTGCCAAAAGCGGCGTAAAACCATACTCACTCACATAGACTAATAAACCAACCGAGACCCGAGAAACCAAGGAAGACGAGCATCATCCAGAAAGAACACGTTCCGTTACATTCGACTCTACGAGTTGCCGATCCTAGTACGCCTAAGGGACACAACTCTGAAGGACAGGTTCATTCCCACAAAAGATGACGATATCAACTCGCAATACATACATTCCACTACAGTGCCCTTTCCCTGAAGCTATCTGAGCGCTATGACAATTGTAAGTATAGTCTATGTTATTGTGGGACGATCTTAGCACTAGGGTCGCCTCATGGAATGGTTTCAGTCATCGGGAATCGCTCTGCATTCAACTCATGTACTTTAGGTGAGGTGAGGTGAAAAGGGGTTTAACGTCGCGTCCAAGATTATTGCACTTATATAGCGATGTGCACGCACGTGTGTGTGTGTGGCTGCTTGTAATAGTCCGGACTGGCCCACTGAGATACCATGCCGCAGTTTAACATGAATACCCCACTCAGACACAGTATACTGACTCCGAGCCGACCAGTCCTGGTCCTGTTTTAGCCCTTTCATGCCGAGCGCCAGACAAGGTAACAACAAGTACAATCTTTTAATGTCTTTTGGTATGACGCGGCCGGGGATCGAACCCCGGACCTTCCGCTCTCCGGGCGGATGCTCTACCACTTGACCACGGAGGCGGTCATGTACTTTAGGACACAGACAAGGCTAAATTGTAATGATAAGTACAGTAACAAAGGGGGAGAGTCATGTGCATGTGCATTCATTCAAGCATAAACAATCCCACCAAATACGTTACCATCACGTATCTCAAAATGGAAATTCGTGAGTCCTCACGAGTTTTTGTTTGTGCGCAAACATAACTTTATATCATATGTTCGAAATATCGGGCTACAACTTTATTTTTTTCTTTCGCATATTTAACATTCTAATTCCCTTTATCCCGGAAAGTTTAAGATGAAACGCCATGCCATTTTTGAGTCCGCTCAGTACCATTGGCAGCCGGGTACTCTGAGACGTCTTTCAGAGCAGAGCTCACGGCAGGGACAGCACAGCGACCGCAGCCACACAGTGAATCCAATATGGATGACAATACGTTCACTCCAGAATCCTGGTTGCGGGAACCCCCATTTACTTTGATGCAAGCCTTGGTCTTTTCTATACTTGTGTTTCAAATCTGGTTAGTCTCAAACTGTTTATGAATCAAAATGTTGGACGATTACGCTAGGCACGATATCAAGTGGTCCATATAATCTGATAACTGATGTTAAGACCTCGATAAATATCATTAGGGATCACATTATTCAGGCCAACGCCAGCGGCGTTAAACAACAAACCAACAAAAAAACCAACAAACCAACAAACAAACAAACGGAGGAAGTGTACTACAATGTGTCACTATAAGCATTTAAAAGTAAGAAAAGACGACAAAGTTTAAAGATAAATTTAACAGTTACGATTCCAGTTCAACGGGTTGGTTAAGCCTTATCTTTTACCCATCAGCTATAGTCTAGTTGGGTTTCTGTTTACGTTGTTTGCCTTCAAGATGACGTGACAATTTGTATTCAGTTGTCATCACTGAATGTTATATCCTTTTAGATGTTCCCTTTTAGGTCTGATGCAAAACATCTGGCTCATCACAGTCAATAGCTCCCGCCTGGACTCCTTGTCTAGCAACCGTAACAGATACACTGAAAGAGAGGAAAGTATAAACTCAATGTTACACTAGTATAATAACCACTGAAATATATACTGAAAGCAAAAGCCACTTTGATTAGTATTTAATTTATATATCAGGATACCAGGTCGAAGACGCTTGGTGCTTTCTTTGAAACCATCGAGCATGGGTACTGTGCTGACCAGTATCAGAATCAAAGAGAGCCACGAACAGCGGATACTGACACACCTAAGGGACGCAACTCCGAAAAACGAATCACTTCGTGATGAACAAACTAATCATTGACTCAGTCTCTTTATCAGTGACGGGTCGAACCTTTGATGTTCTGGGGGTGGGTGGGGGGACAGGGATTGGAACGAAAAAGTAAACTGTCTCCGAAACTCCTTGAAAAAAAATTGCTTCTATACTCGGTCAAAAAATAAATTGTCTGCAAAGAAAATGACATTGTTGCAATGTATCATCAATAAAAAAAAAATTGGCTGATGGTTTTAAAGGTCAATACAAAATGCCCCCGACATCCTCACCCCCCCCCCCCCCCCCCCCCCCCCCCCCCCTCCGTGTATCAAATGGGCGGTCCCTAATTGCTCAAATGATTCATAATCGCTATACAACAAACAAACATAAGAATAAAGAAAACTGAAACGAATTCATGTTCAATTGAAATATACAACTCAATCACGAACCGGACTTGCATAGTTGTGCAGATGTTTATCTTACCCTCAGGAAGGATATACAATGAAGTACCTCTTAGAAACATGAACCCTTTGCTAAACATCTCAACAATGTAAAGCGGATACATCTCAATAGAGATAAGATGCAGCTTGTTCAAACAATGGCCCGAAACGGACGGGAGATCACGACACGGATCCAGCTGGTAGAAGACGCATGTTGTCAATAAACAAAGGTAATCGTTGTAACGTCATTGGACGCCCGAAGTCTTGTATTGACTTATTACTGGGTAAAGCGTGTGATGAGTGTGTGTGTGTGTGTGTGTGTGTGTGTGTGTGTGTGTGTGTGTGGTGAAAATACCTGCATGCACAATCGCATGTAGTCAGAATGATACGTGTATGAAGGCACAATGGCATGTGTGTTTGTTTGTTTGTTGTTTAACGCCGCACTCAGCAATGTTCCAGCTATATGACGGCGGTCTGTAAATTATCGAGTCTGAACCAGACAATCCAGTGATTGACATCATGAGCATCGGTCAACGAAAATGAGATACAATGACATGCATTAACCGACTCAACTAGCCTGACCACCCGATCCCTTTAGTCACCTCTAACGACACGTATGTGTTGCTGAAGACCAGTTCTAAGCCAGATTCTTCACGGGACCACAATGGCATATAGTCCCAATGGTAAGTGTATGAAGGCACAGTGACATGTAGGCCCAGTGGTAAGTGTATGAAGGCACAGTGATATGTAGACCCAATGGTTAGTGTATGAAGGTACAGTGATATGTAGTCCCAGTGGTAAGTGTATGAAGGCACAGTGATATGTAGACCCAATGGTAAGTGTATGAAGGTACAGTGATATGTAGTCCCAATGGTTAGTGTATGAAGTCACAGTGATATGTAGTCCCAATGGTAAGTGTATGAAGGCACAGTGATATGTAGTCCCAATGGTTAGTGTATGAAGGCACAGTGATATGTAGACCCAATGGTAAGTGTATGAAGGCAGTGTGACACGATGTCATGCAGGGACATGAATTACCTTTGGCACAATATGGCACAATGACCTGTATACAAGTGTCCGATGACCTGACCACGAGGGTGCAATGCAATGTATGCACATTGACCTTTGCACAAGCGTACACTGACTTGTTGGCACAATGGCCGTGTGGCACAATAACATGTGCACCAGGGGACAATGGCCCGTTGACACAATGACCAATATGCAGGTCAAAAACAATCTTTCCTGATCATATAACACGGTAACCGACCCGGAACAAAGTCGAACAGACTTGATAATATGTTTCAATTTATCATTTCCAACTTTAGTTTACCTGGTCATTTTTGTCATATTTCAGTCAAGGAAACTACCTTTACATATATGCATGAGGTTAAACAGTTGAATCACCGAATCTCAACCCTGACAGGCACCCAAGGAGTCACATTACTCGAAGCAGAGTTGCGTCCCTTTGCTGCCAAGGGATGCGAGCTCCTTCCCAGGGCGCGACAGTTTCTTTACATTCTCGGTAACATCGCTGCCACCAGTGTGGGAAAGGCCATTACAAGAGTCTTGAAATTTGCCCTCTAACCCCAAATGTAGTAACGTTTCTACTTTTGTTTATGTCTTTAGGAATGCAAAATACAGTTATTTTTTAAAGGGTTTACGACTGACCATATTTCCCAGAAGAATTTACCTTTTTGTTTGATCGGATTGGTTCGAGATTGCAGACGAACGGAAAATCAACCAACTTCCACCTTGCACTTTTACTATAATTATCCATTTTATGATAGCTGTTATGAAACAGAAATTCAAATTGTAAAACAAAGAAAATAATTAGCTCCGCGAATGGACTATCGCTGTGAGGAGCTTGCCAAGGTATGCCGATCGCCCTTTCTGTCAGCGCCGTACCCATGGCCGTTGGTTTCGCCTACGAGCTTTCCTACCACTTTAAACGAACACGCCGTGATCGAGGTGAAATCCCCCACACCCTCACTTACCAGACACATCCAGACAAAAAGCCACGGCGGGAAGAATATGGAAATACAGCAGTGAAGACAGTGGTTGACGGTTCTGGAAGAAGAGCAACAACATCAGCATCCTTCATCATCCCTGAAAACGTGATGCTAACATACGCTTAAATTGAAGGAAACCACTGGCTGATATAATCGATCAACTCGTTTCTTAATCCCAAATCGAGGCTATCAGAAGCGACACGTCGTCTAACAATATATCTTTGCGAGAGCTAAATACCTGAACTATATGTCTAACGCGCACTTGAACGAAAAAGATACATCTGTATGCGACGTACTGCGTTTTACACGCTCAGACAATGATTTCAGATTTTTTTTTCCAAATCGAAAGTATATTACCATCAGCACGTTGCATAAAAAATATGTATGAAACCCATTTCTTTCGTCAACTGCCGTTCTGTCTCTTGTCCTGTTCAATACATACAAATGGTTATATGCCATAATAGTAGAGTTTGTTTGTTGTTATTTTACGCCGCGCTCAGCAATATTCCAGCTCTATGACGGTGGTGGTAGTAGAAATATTTAAAGATAATTCAAAGGATATCGTTAAAGATGTTTCTGAGATAAGAGTGAGTGAGTGAGTGATTTTGGTTTAACGCCGCTTTTAACAGTTTTCAGGTTATATCACGGCGTGTCAGCTTAATGTGGGAGGAAAGCCCGAAGTGATGCAGGTCTCGGACGTTTACCACTTCGGTGAAACCCACGAGCACGGGTATGGTGCTGACAAACCTAGAAACATAATCGGGGCGAGCCGGGATTCGAACCCACAATCATAGGTTTCTGGCGTGCGCAAGGGACGCAACTCTGCACAGCGAATCGCAGCACCTAAGACGACTGGGCCGCCCGTGTCCCTTCTAAGATAAGACATATTATCAGGATATTTTATTCCTCGTACAATATAGTTTCAAATGTTATTTCTTCTGAACATTGCGTTCAAAATGACTGAAGGTGTGATAGTATGTCTCACTGAATCAGCGGTATATCACGGGAGCCTGTATTAAGTGATAGCTATATCCGGTTATTAAACGAGAAGAAATAACTCAATAACATTAATCCAATCGTTTATAAAAATGCAAAACAGACAAAAACAATTTACTGAAACCTACGTTATCAACACACCACAAAAATAGAATAATAGTTATAGCCTATATTCCCGTAATACAACGTCACCAGAGTGAGTGAGTGAGTGAGTATGGTTTTACGCCGCTTTTAGCAATATTCCAGCAATATCACGGCGGGGGACACCAGAAATTGGCTTCACACATTGTACCCATGTCGGGAATCGAACCCGGGTCTTCGGCGTGACGAGCGAACGCTTTAACCACTAGGCTACCCGGCCGCCCCAACGTCACCAGAAAGTCTATAAACTATACATTATATAATCAAAACAAATAGAAGAAAATGCACCAACAGGAAGTGATACGTTTCTTCTGCTGATAATTATTATCTTGTGGTGTGTACTAACTACTGTTAATTAGGGGGAGGGAAGTTCAGAATCGTCTAAACAAACACATTATCGGTTCATGTCCGGTGGTAAATTTGAAAAAAACACCACAAAATATATTTAAAAATATGTTTATAAAATTATATTGATTTTAAATTCAGTTTCACAGCAAATACTCTGTATGCATGTAGAAGTTCACCATTAGGTTGAGGTGTTGTGCAAAATTCTACTTGTGAAGAGTTTTTGATAAAAATATAATTCTTTGTCGAAACCAATCTGAGCTCGTTGGTTTCACCAAAGTGGTAAACGTCTGAGACCTGCATCACTTCGGACTTTCCTCCCACTTTAAGCCGACACGGCGTGATATAACTGGAATACTTAAACCAAAACTCACTCATCTACTAGCTATTATGGTAGCAAACAGACGAAGAGGTAGAGTTTGCTAAACAGACAGGTACTTACTCTTTCTGTTGCAGGACCACAGTCTGTGACGTAGCGCCACCGCCGACAACAACGACGTTTGTACTTGTCTGCTGCATCATCTGAAAAATCAACGTGACAAAAAATGTCTTAAACACTAAAACGATACATCCATCCTCGACTATCCTCGACTGTCTAGTGCGTTATAACTCCATCTATTAATATAAATAACCTTGACCTATATATTCAACTTGGAAAACAGTTCACGTTATGATTTGTACAGAACATTTAAGACTTTATTAGAGCCAGAAAAATATATATCAGTTTTAACAAATAGTCACCTAAGAAATATATATATATGATACAGACTTGGCTTGTCAAAACTTATGATTAATTATGAACGGAATATATCACTTGAAAGAATACAAAGAAGTTGTCCATTCTGTAACTCTGCTATAGAAGACGAAATACATTTTACCTTTGAATGTCCTTATTATGCAGAACTACGTACTAATTATATACCAGAATGTTTCTTATCTAAGACGAGTAGAATAGCGTTTGTTTCTATTTTGTCAGCCTCGTTTCGTTTCGATTCGGAAGTGACGTCACCATCTCCATCTCTCTCACCAGTTGAGCACAGGATGCATCGCGTTCATGAGCTTAACACACCAAACCAATCAAAACGAGCGCTTTTTTCACACATCGAATCAGATAACTGTTATACATTAAATTGTAGCTGGAGAAAAGTATTATTTTAAAAATAAGGAACTGTTTTTCACTGATTGTGTAACATATTTTATGACATTTCAAAGTTTAGAACACTTGTTACCAGTTTGTTTCGGAATTGATTTTTTTTATAAATGGAGCGAATACAAGATCAAGCTGACCTCGGTTTTTTTATGAGTGAGTGATTGACTGAGTGAGTTTGGTTTAACACCGCTTTTAACAGTATTCCAGTTATATCGCGGCGTGTCAGCTTAATGTGGGAGGAAAACCCGAAGTGATGCAGGTCTCAGACGTTTACCACTTCGGTGAAACCCACGAGCACGGGTATGGTGCTGACAAACCTAGAAACATAATCGGGGCGAACCGGGTTTCGAACCCACAATCATAGGTTTCTGGCGTGCCCAAGGGGCGCAACTCTGCACAGCGAATCGCAGCGCCTTAGACGACTGGGCCGCTCGTGCCCCCGATTTTCATGAGTGTCCAGTAGTAGGAGTATATATGGTAGCATAAATTTTCACAGCGGCGGGGAAAATTGAGAAAGTGTTTTTATTATTATTTCACGTCGGAATTAAAATTCAGGGCCGGCGGGAGATGGGAAACATAAACAAATACGGCCCGGAAAGTCACTTTGCTAACCAGGCACAAGTTTCTAGCGTTACCTTGTCTGACATTCAGCATTAAAGTGATAAGACAAGGTCTTGCCGACTCTGTGTCAGTATGTATCTGAGCTCGATGTACATGTCGAACTGTGGCATGTTATCTCAGTGGGCTTGCACTATAAAACTGTTCCGTGATAGTACATGCAGACGCACATAAAACGTGCACGCACCTCGCTACATAAGTGCAATAATTAAGAACGCGACGATAAAACCTATTTCACCTCATCCAGGTGTATATGGGGTTTACTGTTTAGCGTAAAGCAACTAAAAAACGTTATCATTCATATTAGATTAGTCAAATTTCATTACACAAAAATGCTTAGCATAAATTAGAATTTGTTTGTTTGTCATAATCATGCTAAAATCTCGTAAAAGTCGTATATAACTACAGTCGAACCTCGTTATCTCAAACCCCGTTATCTCGAACCTATTCTTCGATCCCGAGCACCTCACAATATAAATATATATATATTTGCCCGCTTATCTCGAATTCGAGATAAAAATACATGCTATCTCGAAACTTGCACTGGGTACCAACTTTGATCTGACCAAAGAGCTTTATACCTTTATCTCGAAGTTGCCACATTTTCAGTTTTGAGAAACGCAAGTGTGTCTAGTATGTACTTTCCTTTCTCCACACAACCAACATCGCTGTAAATATACAGAGCAATTTAAACCAATTCTTCAGCCACTTATGTACTTATCTTTTGATCCAATTGTAATGGTAATCTTTATTTTCAAATACAATATCGCGAGTAGACATGATAAAAAAACATTGTCCAAATCAAGTCAGATTAAAGGATTCAAAGCTGTGTCACGCTACTCAGAATATTCAAGCTGTGATTACACTAGCTCGAAGCGTGTGTGGCACTTTGTTGTTTTGTCAGGTGGATAGACTAAATAGTGATTGCTGCTATGTCTAATAAGGGACATGATTTGTCACAATTATTAATAATCTTTGTCGGCGAAATACATTTTAATTTGTCATCGCATTCCCATATTTTGTTCTTAATTTCTTGTATATGCTATGTATCTATAATACTGTCACTTGATCTGTCTGGGTGTTCATGCCTGGTTATCTCGAATATCCGGATATCTCGAAGTTACAGCACGGTCCCGTTAGGTTCGAGATAACGGGGATCCATGTAGATCTTACAACACAACAAAAGCAGTCAGTGTTTGGGTGTTTGCAAAACACGAATTACGGTAAAGAAACGAAAGCAGAACCGGATGTCACCGTGTTTCCCCCCTGACTAACGATCCGCATTTGCATAATTTTGCATTATATATTATATTATAGATGCCGGTACTCGACGTTTTCTCTGACAAAGGCGAAAACTGAAAATATACTGACTACAGACTATAGGCCCTAAATGTTACTGACTAATGGCTTGTGACACCCCTATCTGGAGTGAGTGGACATGGTTCACAACAAGGAGAGAGCCATGTATGAAGTTCATTGGATGGCTACTTTAGAGTGGATTCTTTCCAATCGGACTTATAGCGAAGCAATGGTAGCGAATAGGTCCAGCGTATCTATCAACATAACATTGAGGTATGCTACACTGGATAACGGATGTACTGAACAATGTAGAAACTGTATATTCCAAACATAAGTCATGGTTAGTTGCACACAATATTTTACTAAGATGGAAAAGAAAACTTAGACAGACGAATTCTCTCACTAATTGAGAGTTCTCTTCACTAATTTACTAAAAAACAATGATGCATTTTTAAACCAAAAAATTAAAAAATTCATTACTCTCGTAAAGAGAGCACTGGGCATACGTTTATGTCGTAAAAAGAACAATTTGTGAAATCCATTTGCGTGGATCGATGCTCATGATGTCAATCACTGAATTGTCTGGGCCAGATTCGATTATTTACAGACCGCCGTCATATAGCTGGAATATTGCTGAGTGCTGACTGACAAACCAAAAATCAGTTAGTGAAAAATGTAAATTACTCCACTAATCCGGGGTCATTATCGCTGACCAACCAATCACTAGCGTTTTCTACACTGAAACACTTAAGCAAGGTTGTAGAATAGAAATATCCCGTTGCGTTTTGTTACGATCATTTTTTGCAATCAAATAGAGAAATTGGCCAATGAATGCGAGTTTCTTTAAAAGGTTGCGATTAATTTTTTCAATAAAGAGCACCTTAATGTCAGAGAAAAAAGAAATCAGCGAAAGTGCACACTACGATTTTCCCCGAGACTTAGAAGAAAAAAACCCCGAGCCAGTCATACTACAGATACGTAAAGACCTGGACCCACTTGCAAAAAGCGATCTTAGCGCTAAGATGATCTTAACCCCCATACATTAACATAGGCTTACGATAGTCTTAGCGCTAAGATCGTTTTGTGCATTTGGGCCCTGGCATGACGGTTGAAACGCAGAAACATCTACTTAGATACACTACAGCTCAAAGAACATGTCCCCACAAGAAAGTGGGGAATTTATTGGAACATTGTAGTATACACTGAACCTTAAGATGCTGTGATACAAGAATATTAAAATTAATACAAGTACATCAAACAGCTCACAATATTCGACAGTGTGTTACCTGGGGAGGGGGGTAAGGGTAGGGCTGGGGTGGTGGCCCGTATCCCTGGGGTGGTGGTCCGTATCCCTGGGGTGGTGGTCCGTATCCCTGGGGTGGTGGTCCATATCCCTGGGGTGATTGTCCATATCCTTGTGGGGGTGGTGCATATACTTGAGGGGGTGACGCCGACCCTTTAGGAGGGGAATCATATTCCGGTGGTGGTGCTGCATAGCCCTGTGCTACCCCATGAGGGGGAAGTGGTTGATAAGGAGGTGGATTTGTCTCCATCTTTCATGAGATAGTTCAGGGAAACAAGAATTCACCTGCAAAACAAAAAAGCGTCGCATGAGTGCAAAGAAAAAAATCATTTTTCAGCATTATTTATTTTAGTTGTATTTTTGTAATACACAAAGGCATTTAGTATTTTCTTTCGGGATGTGCTGTCCACGAAAGCAACACCTGTCTGCTTTATTTGACCCAAGTGCCGGACGCGAGCGTGTTGAAAAGCTATCAAGAAAATAACACAAAAATAACACTGTATCTCCCTCACTCACTCACTGTTTACATGCGTTTTAAGCATCACTTGTATTGGCTGTCAGTTATGAAAAGGACAAAGATGAATAACAATTTCTTTATTATACTGACACAACGTTTCAGGCTAGGGCTACTTTCTACTCCTTCATCAGGTGATGCTCCAACTTTTAGCTGCCTATATAAGCAGCCACTGACTACCAAGCCTTAAAAAAGATACAGCTGTTCGTATACTCCGCCAATGTCCAAGTGGTTAGAATGGATAAAGAAATGATCATAACAATGATATCATTTGACGACATCGCCAATTTAAAAGAAGTGTGGCGAGGTTAAGTGTGCTTGAGAGGGGTCAAGGCGCAGTGAGCAAGGTTTACGGACAGACACTTATACATTGTCATACATTAAAGGAGAGCACCGTGACACTGTGTCCATACAGTACATCATTGTCATACATTGAAGGAGAGCACAACGACACTGTGTCCATACAGTACATCATTGTCATACATCGTAGGAGAGCACTACGACACTGTATTCATACAGTACATCATTGTCATACATTGTAGGAGAGCACTACGACACTGTATTCATACAGTACATCATTGTCATACATTGTAGGAGAGCACTACGACACTGTATTCATACAGTACATCATTGTCATACATCGTAGGAGAGCACTACGACACTGTATTCATACAGTACATCATTGTTACACATTGTAGGAGAGCACTACGACACTATGTCCATACAGTACATCGATGTCATACATTGTAGGAGAGCACTACGACACTGTATTCATACAGTACATCATTGTCATACATTGAAGGAGAGCACAACGACACTGTATCCATACAGTACATCATTGTCATACATTGTAGGAGAGCATAACGACACTGTATCCATACAGTACATCATTGTCATACATTGTATGAGAGCACTACGACACTGTATCCATACAGTACACCATTGTCATACATTGAAGGAGAGCACCGTGACACTGTATCCATACAGTACACCATAGTCATACATTGAAGGAGAGCACAACGACACTGTATCCATACAGTACACCATTGTCATACATTGAAGGAGAGCACCGTGACACTGTGCCCATACAGTACATCATTGTCATACATTGTAGGAGAGCACTACGACACTGTATTCATACAGTACATCATTGTCATACATTGAAGGAGAGCACCGTGACACTGTGCCCATACAGTACATCATTGTCATACATTGTAGGAGAGCATAACGACACTGTATCCATACAGTACATCATTGTCATACATTGTATGAGAGCACTACGACACTGTATCCATACAGTACACCATTGTCATACATTGAAGGAGAGCACCGTGACACTGTATCCATACAGTACACCATAGTCATACATTGAAGGAGAGCACAACGACACTGTATTCATACAGTACATCATTGTCATACATTGTAGGAGAGCACTACGACACTGTATTCATACAGTACATCATTGTCATACATCGTAGGAGAGCACTACGACACTGTATTCATACAGTACATCATTGTTACACATTGTAGGAGAGCACTACGACACTGTATCCATACAGTACACCATTGTCATACATTGAAGGAGAGCACCGTGACACTGTATCCATACAGTACACCATAGTCATACATTGAAGGAGAGCACAACGACACTGTATCCATACAGTACACCATTGTCATACATTGAAGGAGAGCACCGTGACACTGTGCCCATACAGTACATCATTGTCATACATTGTATGAGAGCACTACGACACTGTATTCATACAGTACATCATTGTCATACATTGAAGGAGAGCACCGTGACACTGTGCCCATACAGTACATCATTGTCATACATTGTAGGAGAGCATAACGACACTGTATCCATACAGTACATCATTGTCATACATTGTATGAGAGCACTACGACACTGTATCCATACAGTACACCATTGTCATACATTGAAGGAGAGCACCGTGACACTGTATCCATACAGTACACCATAGTCATACATTGAAGGAGAGCACAACGACACTGTATTCATACAGTACATCATTGTCATACATTGTAGGAGAGCACTACGACACTGTATTCATACAGTACATCATTGTCATACATCGTAGGAGAGCACTACGACACTGTATTCATACAGTACATCATTGTTACACATTGTAGGAGAGCACTACGACACTATGTCCATACAGTACATCGATGTCATACATTGTAGGAGAGCACTACGACACTGTATTCATACAGTACATCATTGTCATACATTGAAGGAGAGCACAACGACACTGTATCCATACAGTACATCATTGTCATACATTGTAGGAGAGCATAACGACACTGTATCCATACAGTACATCATTGTCATACATTGTATGAGAGCACTACGACACTGTATCCATACAGTACACCATTGTCATACATTGAAGGAGAGCACCGTGACACTGTATCCATACAGTACACCATAGTCATACATTGAAGGAGAGCACAACGACACTGTATCCATACAGTACACCATTGTCATACATTGAAGGAGAGCACAACGACACTGTATCCATACAGTACATCAATGTCATACATTGTATGAGAGCACTACGACACTGTATCCATACAGTACATCATTGTCATACATTGAAGGAGAGCACTACGACACTGTATCCATACAGTACATCATTGTCATACATTGTAGGAGAGCACCGTGACAATGTATCCATACAGTACATCATTGTCATACATTGTAGGAGAGCATAACGACACTGTATCCATACAGTACACCATTGTCATACATTGAAGGAGAGCACCGTGACACTGTATCCATACAGTACATCATTGTCATACATTGAAGGAGAGCACAACGACACTGTATCCATACAGTACACCATTGTCATACATTGAAGGAGAGCACCGTGACACTGTATCCATACAGTACATCATTGTCATACATTGAAGGAGAGCACAACGACACTGTATCCATACAGTACACCATTGTCATACATTGAAGGAGAGCACCGTGACACTGTATCCATACAGTACATCAATGTCATACATTGAAGGAGAGCACAACGACACTGTATCCATACAGTACACCATTGTCATACATTGAAGGAGAGCACAACGACACTATATCCATACAGTACATCAATGTCATACATTGAAGGAGAGCACTACGACACTATGTCCATACAGTACATCGATGTCATACATTGTAGGAGAGCACTACGACACTGTGTCCATACAGTACATCATTGTCATACATTGTAGGAGAGCACTACGACACTCTATTCATAAAGTACATCATTGTTACACATTGTAGGAGAGCACAACGACACTGTATCCATACAGTACATCATTGTCATACATTGAAGGAGAGCACAACGACACTGTATCCATACAGTACACCATTGTCATACATTGAAGGAGAGCACCGTGACACTGTGTCCATACAGTACATCATTGTCATACATTGAAGGAGAGCACCGTGACACTGTATCCATACAGTACACCATTGTCATACATTAAAGGAGAGCACCGTGACACTGTGTCCATACAGTACATCATTGTCATACATTGAAGGAGAGCACAACGACACTGTATCCATACAGTACACCATTGTCATACATTGAAGGAGAGCACCGTGACACTGTATCCATACAGTACATCAATGTCATACATTGAAGGAGAGCACCGTGACACTATGTCCATACAGTACATCAATGTCATACATTGAAGGAGAGCACCGTGACACTGTATCCATACAGTACATCATTGTCATACATTGAAGGAGAGCACCGTGACACTGTATCCATACAGTACATCAATGTCATACATTGAAGGAGAGCACAACGACACTGTATCCATACAGTACATCATTGTCACACATTGTATGAGAGCACCGTGACACTGTATTCATACAGTACACCATTGTCATACATTGAAGGAGAGCACCGTGACACTGTATCCATACAGTACACCATAGTCATACATTGAAGGAGAGCACCGTGACACTGTATCCATACAGTACACCATAGTCATACATTGAAGGAGAGCACCGTGACACTGTATCCATACAGTACATCAATGTCATACATTGTATGAGAGCACTACGACACTGTATCCATACAGTACATCATTGTCATACATTGAAGGAGAGCACCGTGACACTGTATCCATACAGTACATCATTGTCATACATTGAAGGAGAGCACAACGACACTGTATCCATACAGTACACCATTGTCATACATTGAAGGAGAGCACCGTGACACTGTATCCATACAGTACATCAATGTCATACATTGTATGAGAGCACTACGACACTGTATCCATACAGTACATCATTGTCATACATTGAAGGAGAGCACTACGACACTGTATCCATACAGTACATCATTGTCATACATTGAAGGAGAGCACTACGACACTGTATCCATACAGTACATCATTGTCATACATTGAAGGAGAGCACCGTGACACTGTATCCATACAGTACACCATAGTCATACATTGAAGGAGAGCACCGTGACACTGTATCCATACAGTACATCAATGTCATACATTGTATGAGAGCACTACGACACTGTATCCATACAGTACATCAATGTCATACATTGTATGAGAGCACTACGACACTGTATCCATACAGTACATCATTGTCATACATTGAAGGAGAGCACAACGACACTGTATCCATACAGTACACCATTGTCATACATTGTATGAGAGCACAACGACACTGTGTCCATACAGTACATCATTGTCATACATTGTAGGAGAGCATAACGACACT